CCCAAGGGGATGGCCATGATGCAATCCCTTCTCCTCTATTCTCCTCTCAGGATTTTGGGAACACCCACACATACACCTGGTGTGCTTTTCAAGCTGCTGTTGTCTGGGACTTGAACCGTGCAATTGGCTATTTGGGATCCAGCCACCTTAACCACATCACCGGCTGACCCAAGATCTCCACGTTATGCTCTGTGCAAGGAAGGAAAAGGAAGGAGGCCCCAGGAGAGTCATGGGGTAATGTAGATGGTATGTCAACTAAGGAGGTAACATAAACAGGACTTGAAGCCTGAGAAGGATTGGGAGTAGTGGTGGGGGAGTTGTGGATGTGGCAAGAAAAGTTCCAGGCTAACTGAACTGCAAAGAGGAATAGCCTAAAGCAGGAAGGCGGGGCTGGGGAGCTCCTGCCAGGTGCCAAGCTTGGTTCCGTGGTTCCAAGCCAGCAAAACCTAAGTGCAGCACAGCTGGAAGGAATTAGGCAATAGTGAGCCTATGTAGCCCTCAGTTCACTCACTGTAAATGGCTGCGGCCCCCGCCCCCGCTCCTCAGGACCGCTGTAAGAACGACACCCGTGACTCCCAGCAGGTGCTAGGTGCCTGACTAGTGATGGGGTCCGGAGACCACGCCAAGGGGATGTCCGTTACGAGCTCTGAGAAAGGGAGGCAGGTCAAGGAAATGCCTAGTTCCGAGAAGCAGGTGGTCAGGTTTCCTACACTTTTCTCAGCTTAGGTGTGCTTGCACATCTGGCCAACCTCCAGCCGCTATCACAGCCGGCCACTCGTACCTCCTTTAGTCACCATAACCAATCTAGTAAGAGTATTCAGGCCACAGAGGCTTAATTAAAAACAGGATGAAACTAGCCGCGTAGACACGGCAGAAGGAAAGCTAACAAACAATTCCTCCGTGCCGACCCTCACCCCCTTTCGGTTAAGGGCAGACTGCCCAATCTACATAAAGACTTCCCTTTCGCTCTCAGTCCAGCTCAGCGTTTCTCCAGCTTTAGTTTTACTTGACGAAGCTGGACACATGACGCCAAAGGCCTTGCGCTTTCGGGACGCTGTACAGCCTGCAGGGACGGACTTCAGACCTCCCCTCACCCCGGCCAGGGTGCGACTCCATTGGAGCGTGCGGGGAGCCTCCCAGGGCGTTCAACGGACGGCAGCTGTTCCACTAGGGCAGGGGTGGGGGTCACCTGGGGACCGGCAAGGCGGGAGAGACGAGCACGCCGCCAGCTCCCACGGGCCTTCAGGAGCCCCGGTCTCGGCCGGTCCTCTTGCTCCTGCTCTCAGACTCTCCCGGTCGGCGCCACCCTCCTCGGCTCCACTCCCCCCCGCCAGGCGCCCCCTGACAG